TTTTTGCTGTTGCTATGGCAACGGTGGGCCAAAAAAATTTTTCAGATTTTTCCTTATAACTAGGGTTAAGGTGTGACCTACCTGCCAAGTTTGAACGAAATCGGCCAAGCCAAAAAAATCACAGAAGAAATAATAGTGAACACTGGAAATGTACACACACAGACACACACACACACAAAACGACAAAAGTGATTATAAGGGCAATCCTAGCGGAGCGGATCGCCAATAATGAGAAGTTAACAGTTCAACTATGTGAAAATGTCCAGTTTGTCATTGCACACAAATGTTAAGAAATTATGCAAACGATTGTCAGGCAGCCATTTTGAATCCACTGTGTAAGAAGATAACATGCACGTTTTGACAAATTTAAGTAAACGTTTGGTGATCTTAGATCTGGAAAAAAATAATACTAATTACGACATACATTTTTATTGTCAATTACTATTAGTAAACTGTCTGTCAGACATCTTTGATCAGATCATGCATGTGATTTTTTTGTAGAACTTTGAATGAAATCAGTCAAGGCATGACGACTAATTCAACACTGACTAATACATGGAGCCAAAAGTAATTTGATTGTACAGTCAGAACTACAATACTCATTGTAGTAAAAAAAAATTACATTTCAGATTTTTATTTTTTCAATAAATTAGAAACTGTTAAAAAAACGACAGTGCTAACTTTCAGAGTAACCTGCTAAATTCTGATACAAGGTTAGATTTCTTGACTCCATCCCATGTCCTTGCAGCATAATGAAACCTGTAAACAAATCAACAGAGTGTGTGAGAAATACAGTGACCCCCTGGCCAAGTCACAGGTAGTTGGATGGCTCCCAAAAATTCCATTGTGTATTGCTGGCAGTTTTGAAGTAGAAGAACTAATGTTTTGTTGCATCATGTATTTAATTGGCCGTTAAAGGGCTGGCGGAGACAACTTAACACCTACTGACCATAAATTACTGTGATACAAAGGGTGACAGTGATTTACTTGAGGTGTTGACAGGGGTATGAAGTCGCGACTTTATGTACTTCTCGACCTGAGTTGAATCCATACGAACATGGACGCTATGATGTTGTCCAATAAAGTGAATGTACTATATAAATAAACCCATTTTCAATGTATAAACCCCCCTTTCAGAGACCCCTTTGTAAGTCACGGTTTTTGCTTGGATTCCGACACCTGTGACTTAGGGGGGGGGCACTGTAGGTAGATTGAGACAAAGACACAATTAAAATAAAATGGCTGCCAGCTGACTATTTTGAACAAAAATAACTACCCCGGTAACTTACAATGTGTGATGTTCATACATTGGTTTTTAGGAACTAAAATGGTCACCAATCTGTGAAATAGTATGGAATCTGGGAATTGGATCATAAAACAAATGCATATACATTTCTGCACAATGTGTGATGCATGTGTGAAGTTTGAATGTATACGGCGGCCTACACATGTCTGAGAAACATGTGTGCATTAAGGTGTAACAATAAGTCCCCAGTTTTGGATAATTTATAATAATATAAATATGATCTCACCAGTTTTTCTCTGTCAGTGACGTATGTGCTAACGGTGGTCTAGCTGCACTAAATATGGTATTTCTGAAAGATCTGATAATTGCTTCCATTCCAGGATGTCCTTTGTAATCAGATAACAGTGATGATATTCCTTCATTTTCTGGTAATGGTATCAAATAAAAACATCTCATATCAACAGAAACTCATCAAAAACAATGCTTAGTGCTGCTATTTTACCTTCTTTGCAATCATTTTGTGTACGCCACAATTATAATTTATTATTATTACATGCAGTATTAATATAGAATTGATGAACAGAATATAGAGTTAGTTTTTAGACCCCCATACATACATGGAATATATATATATATATATGTATATAAACAAATGATTTCAATAATTAAACCACCTACAAATGTGTATCAAATCAAACCAATCAGAATCCAAATACCGTAACTTTTGAATTTGATTCATGTTTTTTTTATAAAGACATGTAGAAAGTTTAAAGCGTGGTAGTCGTCGTGCGAGATATATGGGTCTCATATAAACAAAGATGGCGACTTTGACTGTCGCGCAGATAAACGAGTGCGAACTGAGACGTTTTCAAGCTTTAATTAAGTAATTTTCATGTTATTGGAAGGTATAGAAGAAGTCATCGACGATAATCAGTATAAGTCGCGCCCAGGTCAAACCTCATACTTGTGATTTCCATTTGAAGAGCACATTGGATTGTGGGAAAATCAACGACGACTACCGCGCTTTAATTAACACTTACTGACAGTTCTTCTGGATTCTTCTAACGGGATTAGGAATAAATTAGCTTCGGTATCTGGTAAATCTTTGGTTATATTAGCAAGTGCTTTGCTTTGTACTAGAGACAGAGCACCTGAAAGGATACAACAATGTCAGGATAAACTTACAAAGCTGCTAATAAGGTTTTTGTTACGTGCCAAATGTGGTTTTTCATAACACAAATTTTAGATTTTGTCGCTTAATCATTTACTAAGAGTACTGTAAAATCTGTATTAGAAACCGCGGCTTCTATTTAAATGGTACAATGCAATAGAGGGGATGTGGCTTCTATTAGAGCACCTAAACATATGAGAAATGATGAATTTTTGGTTCTCAATTATTCAAAAAGAATGGGTGCGACTTCTATTATGGATGCTGCTTCTAATACAGATTTTATGGTAATGCCTGAATGACACAGGTTGAATGCAAAAATCAAATAACTTCTTTTTCATAGTTCAATGTCGAGATGTCTATTTTTAAAAGAGGAATATGGTGTGGAGATATTCCTACTTCATCAAAATTAACCATTATCAAATGTGTATAGCACATTGTTATGCGTGAAAATACTCAAAAATAGTTTTGAATTTATTGAAATCCACGAGCGATTTTACACCACTATGATGCTATAACCTTAGTTTGTCCTGTTCTATATACGATTTCACACTGGATCTCATAGTGAATGGAAAAATGGTCCAATATACTACATAAAGCTACAAACAGAAGGTGCAAAAGTATGCTGAAGAAAGAAAACTAGACACCATCTGTAAATTCAACCCCACTTCATCTTAATACTCACTTACATACTCATTATTGTTGTTGTTCAGTCACATGACTCACCAGATACCATCTGTAAATTCAACTCCACTTCATCTGAATACTCACTTACATACTCATTATTGTTACTGTTCAGTCACATGACTCACCAGATACCATCTGTAAATTCAACTCCACTTCATCTGAATACTCACTTACATACTCATTATTGTTACTGTTCAGTCACATGACTCACCAGATACCATCTGTAAATTCAACCTCACTTCATCTGAATACTCACTTACATACTCATTGTTACTGTTCAGTCACATGACTCACCAGATACCATCTGTAAATTCAACCCCACTTCATCTGAATACTCACCTACAT